GAAATAAATGCAATGTCACCTTACTTTTTGGACACAGTAGTATATTACTCTCAGCGTGACTAGTTGTTGCATTATGTTCATAATGAAACTTTATAACGCGCCCAGAAATTTATCTTATCATATACTTACTGCTAACTAACTGCTTATCATATATTTACTGCTACTAACTGTAAACTAATGCAACAGTAGGCGATATAAAACAGATAATACTATCGAATCATATATACACTTCGTTTCAATACAGTATGAACAATTTTTCTCCGATACATTTTTTCGATAGCCAACACAACGAAAGAACTGATTTTTAAGTGACTGCATGAAGTTAAGTTCTATCATTTATTAGATAATTAGCTATATTCAGGAATGCATTGGAAAAGTGCTCAATACTTTTTGAAATAAAGTGTACATATGCTACACATTTACAAAAAAGAGAAAGAATCTTAATATATATTTACTAATGAATGTATACTATCAAAAAATCCATATTGTATTAGCGATTATGATTAAACTTTTATTAATTTTACAATAATCGGTGATAACCTTTAAGACACTAATAGTTTCAGATACTTCTATGCGCTTCGACAAATTTCCATAATTCAAATTGTAAAAGTCAATGTAACGTGCTACAGATTTTAGTTATAAACTATAATTTGAAGAATATAAGAATATAATCAGCATAAAATATATCGCAATTATTTCTATCACTTATCACATGTAGAACACGGACGATTAAAAAGGGACTTACAAAACAGTCACATATAGCTGGGTACAGAATTGCGGAATATATCTATAACTAGTGAGTAGTATGCGAATATTATGCGAAATATAAAATTTAAGATACGATGTGCAATCATTTTATTACCTCACGTAAATATGTTTTACATATTTCAGTAATGTAAGAAAAAATACTATTAATTTACGACTAAATATATAGCTTAGGAAGATATGTATTATTTATCTGAATATCGTTAAGAATAGACAGGTGCGTCCACAAAATTACTATACTAAAATGAACAATACTATACTGTACTATACTACACAAAAATACTATACAATATACTATACTAAATTAAAGCAATGATCAAGCAACTAATGACTTTCAGCCTTTAATTAGGTCGATTATGTAAATTCATGAATAATAAATTAAATACGCATTTCGGTAAATCCACTAGTCACATGTCTTCTACATAGCCTACAACAACAGAATTTATTTTCTCTGTACAATCGATTTCATGTTGAACCAGTTGTTATTGTATATTTTGTGTAATGCAATCCATTGTAGATTAAAAGATTAAAAGATTAAAAGTAATGGGCAATGAATTTGTACTAGTATTGTTGTTACCGTTTTGAACCATGATCTTATTAAGCACATATTTATGTCAAGTATTACGATCACATAGATAATGTTCTAATGACCAGAAAGTTTGGGTAGGAAAGTAAAGTTGTTTTTCTATTATTATCTAGATATTCCATTACTAAATGTCTGTTAATAAATGTAATTATGTTATGATAAGTTCTAGCATCAGAAAATGTGATGAACGTGAGTTTGTTTAGACATAATTGTAAAATATTGCTATTCATAAAAAGGATACTAATGTTCAGTAATGGTAACAGCTTCTTGCAGTGATTCTTATGTTCTAGATTACATAACATTTGGTGTTCATCACAAAAATTAGCTGAATAGCAAATGACGCAGGGCTTCATGTTTATCTATCGGCGACACTTATAACACGATTTTGCGCATAATGTCACATCTATTACGTACGGATGTATGCCTGACAGATTTATACTTATTAAAATTTCCTTTCGTGCTTCTCTCTATTCTTCCCAATTACGATATATGTTCCATTCCGATTTGTCACATGTGATACTTGCTAGGTCTCTGCAGAGTTCCAGGGGTGAGCTCCCATATATCTCCTCATGGTTCTTATAACAATAAGAAATCATTGAAAACAAAGTTATCAAATTTGTGCTGGGCAGTTTGCAAACATGACAAACGTTTGGATGGAAAAACTGATTATATTTATATTCTGTGTATGGATTATCAAGAGTTATTATTTCGCCTATACTCGTCGCGATATGTCTTAGTAATGACGTTCATGAGTATGTTATTAGCAACATTTATTTCGATATAACGCGCAAAGCTCGGTAACTCACAGAATATAACAGAAACTTTTATGCGAGTTATATATAGATGTATAGACAATAATAGTAAGACAACAATGCTATTATATATTTTGAAAATATGAGAAACAAAATACTGTTTACGCTTGAATATATACCCCAGTAAAAAAATTTCTTATATATTTTCGAATATTATTAAAAATTGTGTATCATCAACTATATCAAAATGAAGATAGCATCAAACAATATATTACCTTCAATATTTGACTGGGTCGGTCATGTAATTTAAATTCATAAATACATAATAAAATACGCATTTCGGTAACAACATCTTCCAGTTACATAGTTTCTATATGGGCTACACCCGCGGAATTTATTTTTTCTGTACAAGCGTTTTTTAGTTTCACCTGTTACCTCTTCTATTTTATTTATATTTCCTTTCACTGTCATTTCCGTGTCAGCGGTTAAAAGTAATGGGCACTTTTGGGCTATTATTGCTGTTATAGATCCAAGCCATGTTCCCATGGAACTAATTCGTGTTTGAAGTATAATCACATTTGGTGGCTCATACGACTCTGAGCGTACATACGTGTAGTACGTTTCTGATACATTTTTAACATAAAGTTTCTGTTTATATAGACGGCACGTTCCACAAACAGACCCTAGATCGCGCGATTCGAAAATTGGCGATTTTATAAGTACAATATGCAATTCCTTTATTTTTCTAGAGAAATGTAAGAAAATATGCCAAATTTGCAAAGATATTACATCAATTCTGTTTCCGTCTATAAGATGAACAATGTATTTATTCGTCATCATTGTATCATATGATATATTTGATTCATTCAACGCGTAGAATAATGTTAGCGGATTGGATACAGCATCAGAATATACATATTGCTCGAATGTCCAGGCAAGAGTTGAATTAGGATCATCTAACATCTTACGAAAAGTATATGGATGTGTACTGAGTACATAGCTATTAATAAATGTAATATTGTCATGAAAATCTCTATAACGAGGAAAGTCGCAGAATTTCCTATTTTGATAAATGCTAATCTCTATTATGTCGCTGGTCATATTGCCTATATTCATGTTCAGTAATACCAACAGCTCACCGCACTCCTCCCCATGTCCTTCCCATACACTACATTCTATTTGGTGATCATTACAAAAATTGGCTGAATAGCAAGTGTTGCAAGGACTTATGTTTATCTGTCTGTAACATACATAACACGTCTTTGCAAATAATATCATCTCCTTTTCGTATTGGTATACGTAACGTGACAAACTAGGCTGTATTCGTTGTAAAATATCGTCCCGTGATGCTATCCAATGTTCCAAGCTAGGATACGTATTCGAGAAAGATTTTTCTGTTATTATCTTTGCCACAGCTATGCAGAATTCCGAGTGTAAGATTCTGTGTATCTCCTTATGCTCCTCTGAACAGTAAGAAATCAAATTGCAGAGATTACACGTTAGCAAGTCTCCGCTGGGACGTTTGCAAACATGACAAACGTTTGGATTGAAAAACTGGTTGTATTTGTCTTCTGTGTATGGTCCATGAAAAGTCATTACTTTTCCGTCGTTCATCGTTATAAGTATTATTAATTATTATTTATATGAATACTGTTTGTGATATTTACTTCAGAGTAATGCGCGAAACTGGACAACTCAGCTAGTGTCAGAAATATTTATATTGATTAGATATAGACATTTAAACAATAATAGTACACGGGACATTATAACGGATACAATACGTTTATATCGAAAAAGATGTTGACAATATATTGTAAATATCCGTATGACACGAAATAGTGATATTCGTTAGTGTAGGGAAACAATATGATATATTTCTTATGAAAATCTTGTTGAAAGTCTGATAATATACTACAAAGAAAGATATTAGTATATTTGTGATAATTTTCAGTGAAAACTAATAATATTATATAAACTAGTAATATTTTTGTAATATTCTTTAATGATCATTTTAAATGAATTAATCCATTAAATAAAAATTTCTTTTTATCCGAAGTCTTCAGTTTTCTATTGTTTTGCTAACGGTAGGGATTACTTAACGTTGAAAATGAAGCGACAGACGGTTATCTAAATGGATCTAATTATGTATTTTTAAGACTTGCATAGTGTACCGTAACATAGTATATTATATGTTACAGAATATTGTGAATAATATATTTATTCACAAACATTGAAATGGTGGATCAACATCAGATATGCGACAAATATTGATATAATAAATATTAGTGCATCATTGATTACACCACTGCTTCTCAACTTTTAACGAAATATTATTATGATTAATCTGAACAAGAAACGGTTTAAAACAACTTACTCAATAATCAAAACTTCAAAAAGGTTTTGAAATATTATTTTAAATATTAACCTGTTTTACCCTGTTTTAAATATGAATGCTTTTTTATCGAAAAACATGGATCCTTTTTAACGGCAAAACAGAGTTTTATTTAAATAAATGATTAAGATATACAAATATAATATTATATATAATAAAAGACACACACAAACCAAAGTCAATTGAGGAATATTAACTGCTGTATAATCGTATATATTCATATATAAATTAGGTACATTTATATATAATTTAATATAATATATAATTATATAATATATATAATTATATATAATTATATATATATATTTATATATAATTTATATATAATTATATTTAATAAGCGATTATATATATAATTATAAATAAGCAGTATTAGGCAGCCTCATACAAAATTATGAACAAAGTCGTGTAAAATTATGTATAATTAATGTAACTAATTATACATAATTTAACGTGCTGCCATTTGATTTTATATAGTTATATATGATTGTATATAAAAAAATTTTTACGAGTAAAAATTTCGATTTGCACAACATTAACGATATGCTAAAAGCGGACATCATTTGGTAATCAACCATTTTTAAAGGACTACGGTCCACGTTATTTAATTGCGATAATCACAGAGAAATTTGTGATGCCAATTAGCTATATTTAGTTGATAGAGAAACGGAGAACAAATACTTGAAAATATATTTATGAGACACAAAATTATATTTCTGTGAAATAAAATTTATTTCTATATGCGTATACTATAGAATATATTTTTCTTCCTACAAATATTGAAGTATATATTTTTTTCAGTATGGCTAGTTGTATTATTATGCTCATAAAGCATTTTTATAATGTGCCTAGTAAAATGTTTTATGCTATACTTACTGTTACTCGTGAAAACTGATGCAAGAGTAGGCGACATATAACAGATAACTTTATAGAATCATATATACACTTTGTTTGAAGAAATTATAAACTATTTTCCTTCGATACATTTTACTCGATAGTCAACACAACAAAAGGACTGATCTTCAAGTTATCGCATGCAGTTAAATTATATCATTTATTCGATCATTAGCTGCATTCAGGAATGCATCGGGAAAATGCTGAAAGTATATTGAAACAAAGTGTACATATACTATATTTTTACAAAAAACATGAGGGAGAATCGTAGGATATATTTACAAATAATTGTATATGCTTAAAATCCATATTTTATTAATAATTATGATTACACGTTGTATTCATTTTACAATAATTCGGTGATAACCCTTAAGACATTAATAGGTTTAAATACTTCTATACTGCTCGACAAATTTCCATAATTTAAATTGTAAATGTCCATGTGACGAGCTACAGGTTTTAGTTGTAAACTATACTATGAAGGACATAAAAATGTAATCTGTATAAAATATATCGCAATTATGTCTGTTACTTGCAGAACACGGGCGATTAAGAAGGGAGTTACAAAACAATTACATATAGCTGAGTACAAAATTATGGAATATGGTATTTATAACTACTGATTAGTATACGAAATATAATATTTAAGATACGATGTGCAATCATTTTATTACCTCACGTAAACATGTTTTATATATTTCAGGAATGTAAGAAATAAAATACTATCAATTTGCAACTGATCTAAACCTTAGAAAGATATGTATTATTTATTTGAATATCGTTAAGAATAGACAGGGGCGTTTAAAGCAATATACTGAACTAAAATTAAGGCAATGATCAACTAACTCCTGACCTTCAAGCTTTGACTGATTCGGTTATATGATTTAAATTAATGAATAATTAATTAATTACGCATTTCAGTATATCCACTAGTCACATGGTTTCTATATGGCCAACTGCAGAATTTATTATATCTATACGATCGATTTCTTTTTGTACCTGTTACTTCTTGTCTATTTTGCGTATTGCAATCCAAGTTTGAAAGATTAAAAGTAAATGCACAATGAATTTGTACTAGTATGGTTGTTACAGTTTCAAACAATGTTCTTATCAAGCATATTTATGTCAGGTATTACTATCACATATATAATGTTTGACCATAAAGTTTGGATAAGAAAATTCTTTTTTTAATATTATCTAGATCTTCCATTATTAAATATCTGTTAATAAATGTAGTCATGTTATGTTAATGTCTAGCATCACGAAATGTGGTTAACATGAGTTTGTTTAGATAGAGTTGCAAATTATTGCTACACATACAGACGAATTTAACGTTTAATAATAGTAACAGTTCTTTGTAGTGATCGATATGTTCTAGATTACATAGCATTTGGAGATCACCAAAAAATTAGCTGAATATCAAGTGACGCATTATTACTATGGCACGTACTACAAACAGAACATAGATCGCGCGATTCGAATATTGGCAACTGGATAAGTACAATATGCAATTCCTTTATCGTAAAGTAACGTAAGAAAATATGCTAAATTTGTAAAGATACTACATCTATTCTATTTGCATCTATAAGTTGAACAATGTATTTACGTGCATTGAGTGTAACAGATAATAAATTTGACGCGTAGTATAATGTCAGCGATTCGGATGCAACCTCAGAATATACATATTGCTCTAATGTCCAGGCAAGAGTTGAATTAGGATCATCTAACATCTTAGGAGTATGTCGATCATTTCTGTGTACATAGCCATTAATAAATGTAATATTGTCCTGAAAATATATCTCTTTAGGAAAACTTTCTTCTTTTATGAATCATGAACTCCTGCATGTCGCGGATAATATCGGCTATATTCGTGTTCAGTAATAGTAACAACTCACCGCAGTCCTACCCATGTAATAACTAAATTCCATTTGGTGATCATCACAAAAATTGGCTGAATAGCAAATATTGCAAAGACTTTTGTTTATCTGTCGGTAACACACATAACACGACTTTGCACATAATATCATCTCCTTTTGGTACTGGCATACGTAACGCGACAGACTAGGCAGTATTCGTTGTAAAATGTCGTCTCGTGATGCTATCCAATGTTCCAAGCTAGGATACGTATCCGAGAAATATTTGTCTGTTGTTATCCTTGCCACAGCTATGCAGATTTCCGAGTGTGAATTTCTATGCATCTCCTTATGCTACTCGGAACAATAAGAAATCATATTGCAGTAATTATACGTTATCAAGTCTCCGCTGGAAAGTTTGCAAACATGACAAACGTTTGGATTGAAAAATTGATTATATTTTTGTTTCGTGAGCAGTTCAATATAACCTATTACTTTTCCGTTATTCATCGATCTATGTATTATTGATTATCATTTGTGAATTGTGTTTGTAATATTGGATTCAAAATAATTTGCAAAACGCGGCAACTCACGGCTTGTCATGGAAACATTTATACGGATTCGATATAGATATTTAAACTATAATGATACACGGGACATTAATATAATATGTTTATATTGAAAAAGTTGTTGACAAATAAATTGCAAATATCGATAGGACGAACTAGAAATATTCGTTAGTGTAGGGAAACGATATGATATATTCCTTATGAAAATCTTGCTGGAAGACTGAATATATACTGCAAAGTTTATCAAGAAAGATACTTTAGTAAATTTGTGATAATTTCCAGCGAAAACTTGTAGTATCTTGGTAATGTACAATAATGATCACTTTAAATAAATTAAATAAAAATTTCTTTTTATCTGAAGCTATCAGTTTTACATATTGTAATAACGGTAATGGTTCCTTAACGTTGATAATGAAGCGACAGACGGTGACGTAAATAGCTCTAACTATGTGTTCCAAAGACTTACATATTGTATTTTTATAGTATATTATATGCTACAGAATATTATAATATTATATTATTCGCAAGTATTGAAAGGACGGATGAACATTAGGTATGCAACAAATGTTGGTATAATAAATATTAGTGCATTAGTGATTACACTATTGCTTCTCAATTTTCAACAAAATATTATTATGATTAATCTGAAGCAAACGATTTAAAACAACCTACTCAATAATCAAAACTTCTAAAAACTTGTGGAATATTATATTAAATAATAATCTGTTTTAACCTGTTTTAAATATTAACGCTTCATTATCGAATAATATATATATTTTTAAGGATGTAACAGAGCATTTATTTAACAAGTGTTTAAGTTATATACAAATATTTTATTTTAATATAAGACATACGAAAGTTAATTGAGGAATATTATCTGCTATATTATCATATATTTATATAATAATTAGGTATATTTATATATAATTATATTTAATGAGAGATTATATATATAATTATTTATAAAAGCAGCATTAGGTAGCATCATACAAAATTATAAATAAAATTGTGTAAAATTATATATAATCATGTAACATTATACATAAATTTGTATGCTGCTATTTGACTTTACATAGTTAAATATAATTGTGTATAAAAAAATTTGTACGTCAAAAATTTTGTTTTGGAAAATATTAACGATATGTAAAAAATGAATTTTGTACATCGTAATAGGTGTAGTCCCATCATTCTGAAATCAACCATTCTTTTTAATGAGTGCAGTCCAGGTTATTTAACTGCGACAATCATGTACAAATTAGTGACGCAAATTAGCTATGACTAGTTGGCAGACGTACTGAGAACAAATACATGAAAATATATTTGTGTAATATAAAATTTATTTCCGTGAAATCATGTTTATTTCTATACATCTACACTTCACAATACATTGTGGGTCCCACAAATAAGAATTAAAATATATTACTCTCAGCGTGACTAGTTGTAGCATTATGTTAATAATGAAACTTTATAATGCGCCCAGAAAATTATCTTATCATATACTTACTGCTAACTAACTGCTTATCATATATTTACTGCTACTGACTGTAAACTAATGCAACAGTAGGCGATATAAAACAGATAATACTATCGAATCATATATACACTTCGTTTCAACACAGTATGAACAATTTTTCTCCGATACATTTTACTCGATAGCCAACACAACGAAAGAACTGATTTTTAAGTGACTGCATGAAGTTAAGTTCTATCATTTATTAGATAATTAGTTATATTCAGGAATGCATTGGAAAAGTGCTCAATACTTTTTGAAATAAAGTGTGCATATGCTACACATTTACAAAAAAGAGAAAGAATCTTAATATATATTTACTAATGAATGTCTACTATCAAAAAATCTATATTGTATTAGCGATTATGATTAAACTTTTATTAATTTTACAATAATCGGTGATAACCTTTAAGACACTAATAGTTTCAGATACTTCTATGCGCTTCGACAAATTTCCATAATTCAAATTGTAAAAGTCGATGTAACGAGCTACAGATTTTAGTTACAAACTATAATTTGAAGAATATAAGAATATAATCAGCATAAAATATATCGCAATTATTTCTATCACTTATCACATGTAGAACACGGACGATTAAAAAGGGACTTACAAAACAGTCACATATAGCTGGGTACAGAATTGCGGAATATATCTATAACTAGTGAGTAGTATGCGAATATTATGCGAAATATAAAATTTAAGATACGATGTGCAATCATTTTATTACCTCACGTAAATATGTTTTACATATTTCAGGAATGTAAGAAAAAATACTATTAATTTACGACTAAATATATAGCTTAGGAAGATATGTATTATTTATCTGAATATCGTTAAGAATAGACAGGTGCGTCCACAAAATTACTATACTAAAATGAACAATACTATACTGTACTATACTACACAAAAATACTATACAATATACTATACTAAATTAAAGCAATGATCAAGCAACTAATGACTTTCAGTCTTTAATTAGGTCGATGTAAATTCATGAATAATAAATTAAATACGCATTTCGGTAAATCCACTAGTCACATGTCTTCTACATAGCCTACAACAACAGAATTTATTTTCTCTGTACAATCGATTTCTTGTTGTACAAGTTGTTATTGTATATTTTGTGTAATGCAATCCATTGTAGATTAAAAGATTAAAAGATTAAAAGTAATGGGCAATGAATTTGTGTACTAGTGTTGTTGTTACCGTTTCGAACCATGATCTTATTAAGCACATATTTATGTCAAGTATTACGATCACATAGGTAATGTTCTAATGACCAGAAAGTTTGAGTAGGAAAGTAAAGTTGTTTTTCTATTATTCTCTAGATATTCCATTACTAAATGTCTGTTAATAAATGTAATTATGTTATGATAAGTTCTAGCATCAGAAAATGTGATGAACGTGAGTTTGTTTAGACATAATTGTAAAATATTGCTATTCATAGAGGGGATACTAATGTTCAGTAATGGTAACAGCTTCTCGCAGTGATTATTATGTCCTAGATTACATAACATTTGATGTTCATCACAAAAATTAGCTGAATAGCAAATGACGCAGGGCTTCATGTTTATCTATCGGCGACACTTATAACACGATTTTGCGCATAATGTCACATCTATTACGTACGGATGTATGCCTGACAGATTTATACTTATTAAAATTTCCTTTCGTGCTTCTCTCTATTCTTCCCAATTACGATATATGTTCCATTCCGATTTGTCACATGTGATACTTGCTAGGTCTCTGCAGAATTCCAGGGGTGAGCTCCCATATATCTCCTCATGGTTCTTATAACAATAAGAAATCATTGAAAACAAAGTTATCAAATTTGTGCTGGGCAGTTTGCAAACATGACAAACGTTTGGATGGAAAAACTGATTATATTTATATTCTGTGTATGGATTATCAAGAGTTATTATTTCGCCTATACTCGTCGCGATATGTCTTAGTAATGACGTTCATGAGTATGTTATTAGCAACATTTATTTCGATATAACGCGCAAAGCTCGGTAACTCACAGAATATAACAGAAACTTGTATGCGAGTTATATATAGATGTATAGACAATTATAGTAAGACAACAATGCTATTATATATTTTGAAAATATGAGAAACAAAATACTGTTTACGCTTGAATATATACACCAGTAAAACATTTCTTATATATTTTCGAATATTATTAAAAATTGTGTATCATCAACTATATCAAAATGAAGATAGCATCAAATAATATATTACCTTCAACATTTGACTGGGTCGGTCATGTAATTTAAATTCATAAATACATAATAAAATACGCATTTCGGTAACAACATCCACCAGTTACATAGTTTCTATATGGCCTACACCCGCGGAATTTATTTTTTCTGTACAAGCGTTTTTTAGTTTCACCTGTTACCTCTTCTATTTTATTTATATTTCCTTTCACTGTCATTTCCGTGTCAGCGGTTAAAAGTAATGGGCACTTTTGAGCTATTATTGCTGTTATAGATCCAAGCCATGTTCCCATGGAACTAATTCGTGTTTGAAGTATAATCACATTTGGTTGCTCATACGACTCTGAGCGTACATACGTGTAGTACGTTTCTGATACATTTTTAACATAAAGTTTCTGATGAAATTGACGGCACGTTCCACAAACAGATCCTAGATCGCGCGATTCGAAAATTGGCGATTTTATAAGTACAATATGCAATTCCTTTATTCTTCTAGAGAAATGTAAGGAAATATGCCAAATTTGCAAAGACATTACATCAATTCTGTTTTCGTCTATAAGATGAACAATGTATTTATTCGTCATCATTGTATCATATAATATATTTGATTCTTCCAACGCGTAGAATAATGTTAGCGGATTGGATACAGCATCAGAATATACATATTGCTCGAATGTCCAGACAAGAGTTGAATTAGGATCATCTAACATCTTACGAAGAGTATATGGTTTTCTACTGAGTACATAGCTATTAATAAATGTAACATTATCATGAAAATCTTTATAACGAGGAAATTCGCAGAATTTCCTATGTAGAATAATCCAATTCTCTATTATGTCGCTGGTCATATTGTCTATATTCATGTTCAGTAATACCAACAGCTCACCGCACTCCTTCCCATGTCCTTCCAATACAT